CTCCAGCCGTTGAGCCAGCAGGAGGGCTCCAAACCAAGTGCCATCAGTGGAGCAGCCCCAGAGAGAGGGTCGCCCGGCTGCTGCCCGAGCAGGACTGAGCGCCTCTGTGGAAGGGAGGAAGAGGAAAGCCGCCAATTAAGATGTGGGGCATGTCCAGGAGCCACAAAAGACCCCCTGTCTTCAGCCACGGCCGCGGCCACCTTCCTTTCCCGGCCGGCCGGTGNTTTGCTTTGCTAATTAGGGCGGAGGGGGCGGAGGGAGGGGCTCTCGTTCCGGCACAGACGATGTCCTTCCTCCTGCTTTTGTTTTGCCTTCCTGGGGGCTCCATGATTAACGTGAACCCCAAAGGGCGGCGTCTGTGAAGATGCAGACCGATCTGCCAAGGCATCCTTCCCCCTGGAGTTGCTCTCCTTCCATTCCACTGGAACATTTGCTAATTAGGGCGGAGGGGGCGGAGGGAGGGGCTCTCGTTCCGGCACAGACGATGTCCTTCCTCCTGCTTTTGTTTTGCCTTCCTGGGGGCTCCATGATTAACGTGAACCCCAAAGGGCGGCGTCTGTGAAGATGCAGACCGATCTGCCAAGGCATCCTTCCCCCTGGAGTTGCTCTCCTTCCATTCCACTGGAACAGGCGGTGATGATGTTCTTCACGGCGGCAGGTGCCAGGCTTGGCCCCAGTCTCCCCACTGTAATGCCCCACTGCTGGAATGGGTGGAGGGGGGTTGCCCCAGGTTAGATCCTGCTTCCAAAGGGTCCCAAGCAGGAGGCAGCCTGAAGTCCCGCTTCTGGTGTCTCTCGTCATGTGGCTCCCCCCGCCGCCTCTCCCCTCTCTTGGCTCTCTGTCCCACGGTAGCTTGCCTTAATGATATGCAAATGAAATATGCATAAAACCATGCTACTGTCTGATGATTAAACACTGGAGACATGCACAGGGCTGCCTCGCTGCACGACACTGGTGGTAATCTTCCTTGAACATCCACTTTGCAGAGTTTGGAAAATCCAAGCGGTGGGCAGTAAGCGCAGAGGAGTGAGCAGGCAGGGGTGGGGACCCAGCACCCATCTCCATTCCATGCTGCTCCCCATCCAGAAGAGCGGGGGGGCACCCCACCCACCCTGCCTGCCTGCCTGCTCTCTTTTGTAATCCAGGCACGCGCGGCAGCACCAGGGCGATTAACAGAATATTCCCTCCTTTTCTTTTAATGTTTCAAAGCTCATTAGCAAAATGATTATTCCTCATTAGCCATGAAAGCTTATTCATTCGAAGAACAAAAAGAGAGAGAGAGGTGCCCAAAAGATGCCAGCGCTGATAATCCTGATCGCTGCTGCTTGGCAGTAAATCCCGTGCCAGCATTTACCAAGCAAAAGTGATGCACGCCAATTCCCGTTTTTCTCTTCCGAGATTTTTCTTTCTTCCTTTTTTTCACAAAGAACGAAACAAACCCCGTTAGCGTGTTTTGTAAATTCCTCTTAAGCAAGAAGCCCATTAATATTCCTGTGGCATGACTTTGTTTTCGTGTCTTCTTCCTTTTGTCTCCAGCGCCCGTCCCTGGCTCTGCGCCCGATGCCAGCTGAATGCCTTCCAGGATCCACAGCAACTCCGACCGTGTAAGTAAGCAGCTGCGTCTTTCTACAAGGCAGCCCGAGACGAGCCTCCCGCCCTGTCGCGGGGGTCTCCGGCGCTGCCTCTCCTGGCCTATCTGGTGTGCCACCCGGGCGTCAGGGGAGCCCCTTCCAACTCAGACCGCCTTCGCGTTGGTGCAGGTGTGAGCGGCATCCATCCTCCCCCTCCCTCCCTCGGGATGCAGGAAGGCTCCATCGTGGCTGTGGCGAAGGGCTGCCCGTTGGCCCCATGCATCATCTCCCTGGTGATCACAGATTGCATGGAGATCAATCTGCGGCTCCTGTTGCTGCTCGGGTGGCATTTCTATTTTGCCTTCCGTGTTTACCTGGGTCATGAGTGGCAAGGATGTTCTGCCTCGCCCCCTCTGGCCCTCCTCTCCTCTCGGTGCACACACGCAGAGATCCAGGTGTCCATCCTAAGCGCGCAAGCATGCACCCATGCCTCAAATCTGAGTGCATGCGCCGCCTCCGCCTCGTACATACCGATTTTTGTGGGCGCCGGCGTCTGCCCGCCTCCACGCGTGCATTCACACGCAGCCGCTGTCCTGCCGTGCACAGGGAAGTCTGGCAAAATGTTCCCTCTCCAGATGTGGACGTTTGTACCCCTCTTTCGCTGATACCTTTAGAGGTTCCAAGGGAAGACTTTGCGGCTGGTCCTTCTCTCGGCAGGCTGGGCATCGCTTCCGTTGGTCTTTAGACTGGCAGTTGGCATCGGCCAGAGCCTGCCCGGCTGAGAATTGGGTGGCATCTTTTCTTCAAAATTCGCTACCCCTTCCTCCCCGTTAGCTGACTTGACAGGAAGATTTATCCTTCCTTTTGTTTTTTTTCCCTTCTTCTGTGCCAGCTGTAAGCAGACCCGCGTGGCAGAAAAACCTATGTCTATGCCTGCTGTGGTGCCAGGTGCCCATTTGCCCCTGGCACGGCAGAACGGGAGAGGCAAGCGGGCAGTGTGTGGTTTTTGTTCTTGGCGTTGTCTGCTGCTGCTCCTCCTCCTCCCACCTTCCTGTTTTCGAGGCTCTGGGATGCCAGCCTGGGCTCGGGAGCGGCATCATGGCGGAATGGCGGCCTTTGTCTCGTCTTGCGCCGGCTCCCCTGCAGCAGCAGCAGCAGCAGCAGAAGGGCGCTGGCCTGGGGTGCAGGTGCCGGAGGTCCAGTTGGTGCTCTGCCTGCGGGGGTGGTGGTGGTGGGTGCGGGTGGAGAGCTTCCACATCCCAGGAGTCCAACGAAGAGGCTTGCCCGTCGTCCTGGCACCCGTGCCCTGCACTGCCGTTTGCCGTCCTGCTTCTGGGCTCCGGCTAATATCCCTTTCCTTCCTTCTCCACACAATCTGGTCCCCTTGCAGGACCCCCGGAACAGATATACCCACGGCTGTTATCACACGGAATGGTGGCGTTGCCACTGAATGGATGGCACGGTGCCAGCGAGTCTGCCATCCATCCGCCCTTGAAGCTCTTTTCCTTTCTTTCTTCCCTCCCTCCCCCCTCCCCCTCCCTCTCTCGCTCTCTCTCTCTCCCCTCCTCCTTCTGTCGACTTGACGTTAATTAACACACGGATTAATTGATTTTAAAAGCTGAAGAATTACAGTCAACTTTTCCCACAGGGTGCAGGCGCCCGC